TCAAGTTCCCAGTTCCGCAATATCCCTTCCTCTTTCATATGAAAAAGAATGAAGCAAGCCGCAGCTGTGCCATAAAGTTTCCTCAACATCTAAAGCAGAAATAATCTTCTAGAGTACAGAGAGACGCACCAAAACCCAATCACTTTATTTATTTTTTTCATGTTTGTTCAACAGGGACTTGCAGCCACTTCTTTCTTCTTTGCTGCTGCTTCAGCTTTTTTAAAAATTTTAATTTCAGCTGTCTTTGAACCATCCCAGCCATCCAGGACTCACACAGCAGAAATTACCTCCCAGCACAAACCAGTCCTTGCACTGAACAGGCAGGGGAGAGAAACGCGCCCCCATTCCAGGAGCTGGTTTGAGGAAGCCGAAATTGAGCAGATGGGGTTTGGTCGGCGTCTGGAAAGACCACCTCGGAGCCCCATCTAACCTTTCTTGAGTTCTGGGGAAGAAATACTGGATACACAAGTGATGAAAGTGCTAAATTTTCATTAATTTCAGCACAGCAAAAGGAGGGCAACTCTTGTACCTCAGCAGTGGGATAAGCCCAAGTAACACGTTCAGTGTATTTCTGACTCTTCCCCAAAATAAAATCAAGAGGTACATATGAACATTAATCCTCCTTTTTCTGCTCAATGCAAAACAAATACAGCCATATTAAGGTGAGCTGCTTCAGAATAAGCGATCTGACACCAAGATTCCTCCTCGGTCATCTTTTCAGCAAAGAATTATAGGAACATGTTGTCTTATTTCAGAGAAATCCAAATGAAGGAAACTCCCTGATATTTCTGAAGGCGCAAATAAAGAAACAACTGTGATAAATGTGGTGAGCAGAACAGCATCCCATCAACATTGTCTTCCAAGTACACATTTTGCTTTATCATTCTTTGCAGCTCTCTTGGCAAGATCTTTGGCACAAGACACAATGGCATTTTCCAGAAATGGCTGCTTGCATACATTAGCTCAGATTTAAAGGAAGGAACCTGGGAAAGAAGGTTATTGGATGGAACTCCCCTTTATGGTATATCAATGCTGCATTATGAAGCAGCTTAAAATCCACCAACTCTTAAATGCAGTTTGAAAGGCCCTGGCTTATGGAACAACATGTCTGTATGGATTCTAATCAAGGGAACACATTGTAATAAGGACACGAAAGTACATCTGTAAACTGGGGTGGCCCATTTCTTGAGAGTAACAAGATGTCTGTTATTCATTTATTTATTTTTCGATTTATATCCTGCCTTTTTCCTGCAAAGGGCTCAAGGCAGCTTACATCTCCTCCTCCATCTTATCCCCACAACAACAACCCTGTGAGGCAGGTTGGGCTGAGAGTCTGTGACTGGCCCAGAGTCACCCAGTGGGCTCCATGGCCGAGCGGGGACTCGAACCCGGATCGTCCGAGTCCCAGTCCCACGCTCTTCACCACTACACCACACTGGCTCATCACTGTTATTCTAAGTGGCAAACTAGATTTGTGAGATTGTGAAAAGGTTCGATCTACACCCCACCCTATCAAAACATTAAGAAAAATCTGCGATTCTTGCTCACAGCATGGTAGGACAGCATAGTGGGAATCTGCGTTTTTCTCCCAAGAAATGCACCAAAGGGGTATGCGAGAATGTGCTCTGTCTATTCTGCTGTTTCCGATTTAGAGAAGCGGCACGTTCCAATCAAGCTCCCCATTCGTGCAGCGAAAGCAAGCGTTTCAGACACCTCCAAGGCGTGCAGCAAAGACAAGACCTGCTTAACGCCGTCCTGTGCCAAGGTAGCCCAGGGCACGGGTCCCCTCCCCACGGCCGACCTGCCAAAGGCTATGCAGCAAAAAGCTTGCAGCAGCTACTTTCATGTGTCCCCCAGCTCAAGAGGTGAGGAGCCAAAACTCAACAGGAAAAAGGATTCGTGTTTTATTCTCGCTGTTGTTTTCACACTATATCCAGTAACCTTGGAGAACCCTTCTTGTTACCACTGCTGGAGAGGCAGGCCCATTATTTCCCTGCAGGGGAATGTCAGTCATACAGCAAGTACTATGCCTAACGGGCGAGGACCACTTCTGGAAGGAGCTCAGGCTCGAAAGAGCAGCTCAGGGGTTTGATCTCGCAAAAAGCTGGGATGACTGCAGGTGGGCTGGGAAAAGAGCAAGAAAGGGAAGGCCTCCTCTTGCCCAGCACTCCTACAAGAAGCACACCTCCCAGCAGGCGCGAGAGGAGGCTGAAATCCAGCCCGTGCCCACGCACCGAGGGCTGCGTGTTCTCGTAAAGTGGCAGCGGCAGGAACTGCACTGCATGAAGTGCTTAGCGAAGCTTCCCTCCCCCCCATCCCTGCACCGAAGATGTTAAGCATTTGTTGGATCTTAGGTCAGGCTGACGTTCGAGGGGGTGGGGACGAGAGCAGCGCCAAGCCAGCCCAGTGAAGCCATCGAGTGGATCCCGAAGTTCCGGGGCTCACACAACAAACGCTGACCGGAGTTTGGAGGGGAGCAAACCGCCGAGGTGCGTGAAAAAAACGCCCTTCCCGAGCCCTCTTTATGCATGTCTGTGTATGTGCAAGCAGAAGGAGCGCCATCGTTTGGGAAAGCGACTCCGGCTCTTTCAAAAACCAGGAGGAGCTGCCCTTGGCAGCGTACCCAGGCAGATGCCGCTGCAGAGGAAGATAAGGGCCCCCACAATGGGCAGTGACATTTTGGCCGTTGCAAAGCTATGTCTCTATGCCCAACCTGGGAGCGGACTTCAACTCTCCTGCCCAGCAGAAAAGCCCCGTTTTCTTCAGCTTTACACAAACCTCAAAGTGCTCAGATAACATTCTCCCGGCCACGCGATGCCCGCTGACCCTGGATTACCCTGACCGTAATACCTCCTACAGTGCGTTTAGTTCGAGATGCCATTGTCGTAAAGTTCAGGCAAACACCCACTGGGCTCCACTGGCCCCCTAGATGTGTCTTGACGCCTCAGAACTTCCCGTGGCTCCCCATCCCGCTTCAATCCCCCCCTTCTGCCTGTCCTGCCTTAATCCTCTTTCAGTCTTCTGTCATCAAGCTGGAACCCAAGTCAGTCTTCAAGACCAAACGAGCCCCGGCATAGGCTAGAGGTTGAAAAATGAATAGGCACATGTGCCCAAACACAAGCGACAGGAAAGGTCCCACTCCCCCGGGATCCTCACCCCCGGCAACTCACATCCTCCCCCAGTAGTTCTTCCAGCCCAGCCCTCCACCCTCATGTCCCCAGCACAAGGAAAATACAGAGAACTCCTCCCCGATGAGCTCCAGCCTAACTGCCCTTGGCGTCTCTTCCCCAACCTGCCCAACTGCCACAGGTCCACCCTGCAGAAACATGGGGAAGTCACGCCCCAGTCTCCTCCTGTGTCCACACGAGCCTCTCTGCCCCAGCCAAATTAGCACCAGGCTAATTTGGTCTCAGTATGCAGAGACGAACACCAGGCACTTCCCTACATTCCAGCCACCCCACCCTCTCTCAGTTTCCACACAGGATTCCCCTCCCACTCCATTTTATTCATAAAGACCTTCTCACTTCTCCATCATTCTAAACTTCCAGTAGCATCCACCCCCAAGTTAGCAAAGAGCCTCAGCCAGGCCAAACACACACCTGCCTGCCTTCCATTTCAAAGTGACCCCAAAAATCAAGTTTTCCCTTCCACCTTATACAGAAGCATCTCTCTCTCACTCGCTCACTTCCAAAGGTTTGGAGGCCCTCCTACCCCCCAAGAAACACCCCTCTAATCTCATTCACCTCCACTTCACCCCTCAGTGGCTTGTCATGGGTACCCCCTGCCCAACTTACAAACTTTCCCCAAATTCCCTGCACCTGCGGCTCCCGTTCCCAGCCACCTGAGCGCCTTCCCTCCTCCTGGAGCGCTGCATTTCACGGCTCCGCTCCTTAACCCTTCGCACTCCAGCACCACTCTCGAAGTTCACCCTGCCGCCTAGTCTGTGTGGGTCCTCTCTTGCCCGGCTCTCACGCCACCTGCCCCTCTTCCTGCTGGCCCACTTCAACGCGGGCTATCCCACCCCAGCACTCGCGCTCCCATCCTGCCACACAGAGGGTTCCCTGCTTCCCCACCGGCAGGTAGCCAACCCCCCACCCTCCTTTCCCCTTCCACACAGATGCTTCCTGCTGAGCTCCATCCAAGGCCTCCCCTTCATTCCAGTCACCTTCCCTTCCCTTCCTTTTACTCCCAGCAGCAGGCCTAGCTGCCGCACGAATGAATTCTACACAAAACCACCCCGGAATTCTCCCTTCCTTCCACGCATGCACACAAACCGCATGCACACGAACCTCTCCTCCAAATGCCCTCCCTTGCAGTGCTCTGCTCCCAGAACTGCTTGCCTAAGATACCAAAAAAAGTTACCTTCCTCACCCCCACTTCAGGCATCATTATATGCAGCTTATAACCGTGTTCTCCTTGACCTGTGTATGTGGAAATAACACACGGAAGCAGGGCGAAGGAGTGCGTGGAATCCCACAAGGGTATTTGCCCACCCGAGAGCCATGGCACGTGTATCAGCAAAATCCTTTCGTCCCTTTTTCCTATGCGAGGCCATGCACTTTGACATACATTTTGAACCGCGCTGCACACGCCTCTCGCTCCCGCCTCCCCCAAACCGCCCCGTTGAATCCCCTTCGCACCGTGACACCCACGCACGCCCGACAAGCGGCCGGGCCCCCACCCCGCACCCCCGGCAGCCCCGCAGCCCCTGTCGCATTGAACGGGGAGAACCAGGCAGGGTCAGGCCAGAGGTGTGTGAAGCAGGGAAACATAAATAGCAGCACAGGGATGCGCGCACGCAAGAAGGGCTCTTCCTCCCGGGGAGCCCCGCCCCCCCCCCGCTCGCGGCCCCCCCAATCCACGCAGGCACACGGACCCCCCTCCCTCCCCCCCTCCCTCCCCGTTCGCCTCAGGCCTTCCTCCACTCCCACCCCACGTACCTCACCACAGGCGCGCGCCCCACCTGCGTCGCCCCCCCCCCCGCTCGCCCCCCCCCCTACCTGGAGATGCTCCTGGAAGCGGATGGGCAGGATCTGGGCCATGGCGGCGGAAGCGTTGTTCGCGTTTGAAGGCTCCAGCCCGGCGTCGGCGCGGGGGAGCTGGTCTCTCCTCGGCCGCGAAGAAGAAAGAGAGAAAGGCGGCGCCGGGGCAGCGGCGGAGAGGAGGAGGAGGCGGCGGCGGCTGCGGCGGGGGAAGGGCGGCTCTCAGTGGCGGGGAGACCGAGACGGGAGGCCGCCGCGAGCGATCCGGAAACAGCCCTCGCTCGCTGGCGGAAGGACACGCCGCTCGCCCTCACGAAAGGGAGCGCGACGGCTGCAACAGCGGCGGCTTCCTCCGCCCGAGTCGCTTCTGCTCACCTGCCGCCGATTAACCGCAGCGGCGGAAGGATCCCATGGCGAACGCGAACCTCCGCCCACGTATAGAATCAATGGGATTAGGCGGAAGGATCCTTTGAAACCGGAAGGAACTCTTTTCCTCGAGGCTTTTTTTTTTGCTTTTGGAGAGGGCGAAGCTCCTCCCCCATCGGGGCTCGAGCTTCCCTTTTTTTTTGCCACATCATGCGACCTGGGTGGAAGGTGACGCCACTTCCGTTCCTCCGGCCCACCTGGGTGTCGGTCCCCTGATCACATGACACGGGCCGGTTACTTTAAGGAAAAAGGGGACTCGAGGTGGACGTTCTAGGCAGAAAGACGTCACCTTGTTCAGTCCAATGAGGCTGGAAGGAGCTAACGCGCCTGCGCAAGGGAAGCCGGGGGAAGCTCTTGGTTCAAGGGTTCGAATCCCGGCTGCGGTAGTGAAATGGTGACCTTGGAGCACAATAAAACAACCTTGTTCCACCAGAAGCGTTGACTCGCACAGACAAACGTAGTTTTGATGACTGTGTGTTTTTTTAAGTAGGTTCACCAGGCTGCAGCTAGAAGTTTTCAAAACGCTATTTCTAATAAACTAAGTTTTGATGAACTTTGCCCCACAGGTAGAAAGACCTGAGGAGGCATTTACACACAATCAGTAAAACAAGACACTCCCTGCCTGCTGACTTGCAAAAAGTCACAACACAGAAGAAAAGGAGGTGCGGAGGGCAGAAGAAAAATGCAGCAGTCATTCAGTAGGGTTAGTTGAACAGCCCTGCTTCCCCTCATATCTTCCCTTGTACAGCCCCATAGAATGGCTACTGGTGGTAACAGTTCTGGCAAAAAGAGCCTTCACAGCTGGAATTCACTTTATAAACTGATTTCTGAGAGTTTCCTAGATAGTGTACAAAAAGGCAAAACATGAAAACCCAGAACTGCATCAAACGCGCTTTCAGTGCATCACAGACACCATGGGCCCACCTATTTCTAGCACAGAGTATTCCTTTGTTAACAGGCCGAAGAAGTGGGTTCTGAAACAGAACCTTTCGGTAGAGAGCACCCCAGGGTCAGGGTTCAAGCCAGCCATGCCCTCTTCCATTATGTTCCATTCCATCTCCCAATGCTGTAACCTGATGGAGGGATTTCCATTCGCCCCAGGTGATAAGCATGTCCGGTCTTTTTGCCGTCTTCAAAGCACCATAAGCGGCCTGAGGGAGGGTTGTTTCTTACGTAAGGCTTTCCCAATAAGCATTATCTAATCTAATCCCAAGAGACAGGAAATGTAAAAATAGAGAACCAGGGATTAAAGTAGAAGGGGCTTGAGGGGGAAACTGTATGGACCAAGAAAGAGTTAATGGATCTTCCTGCCTTGTAAGAAAACCTCCACTCGCCCCAAGGTTGGTAAAAATAAAACCCAACCAAGAAAAATGGAAATATTAAGGCTTCTGAGCATCTGCTTCCCAAAATGTGTCATTCTTTAGGTGCTGCTGTAATTTTTCTGATGCCATGGAACTAGAATTTTCCACACTAAAATGTCCTGTCGCACATTCCTGTACATGCTCCAGTTCAAGACATTTTGACATTAGGGCTAACAACATTTTGAGAATCAAGAATGCTGGTTCTCTAGAAAGTCCATTTCGCCACTCAACAAACACATCAGCTAGCTTTTAAGATGAGTTCCAGATGTGTTACACTACATTTTCCACCATCCCCAAACAGCACAGCTGTTGACTGGTGCTGGGTGAGAACCTTAGGAATGACCATCTGAAAAGTCATGGCACGCAAGGAAAAGGAGGTGGGGAAACCAGAGGAAAAAGGCAGCGGAAGGCACTCGGTATGGCTGGCGGAAGAAGGGTGCTGGATTGCGGAAAGGCTGCCTTAAGGGGCTGCAGCGAAGCAACACAGTCAATTCGTGGCGGTCCTGTGAATAGTACAAGCGAGGACATGGGGAATACCAGAAAAAAATTACCCCATGTAATTTTTGCTCAATACTCACATCAGCAGGCTGAAGAATACAAAGCTGTCCTTACAGGAAACCTTGCAGAAGAAAAAATATCAGAGCCTGCAACACCATACATAAATCTCTTATTGCCATAAAGGGAATACTAAATTAGCTACAGTCAATTTATACTCTGAATAGCAGCATTAAATACACACACGCCGTGTGGATCAAAGAGCTCAATTTGAGCTGTCAGACATTTATAGCAAGTATACAGAAATTGTTTCCCTTTACGCTGCAAGAACAGCTTACTGCAGAAACATACGGGAATATATGTATATAAAAGACCACTGTGGAGTGAAAAGAGAAAAAGGACGTTCTTAAAAAACCTGTAAACTTGCTTCTGAAGCTTCTTCTTAAAAAAGCAGCATGATGTCACATGCAAATATTAAAATACCTTTGAATAAATTTGAAATCTCTTCAAAATGAAGACCACAAATATCAATGGAAGCACCATACAAACCAGACCTAAATGTTTACACACGTTCATTTCAAAAGGCTTGGTTTGGGGGTTTGTTTTTGCTAAAGTGAAGTATTTAAACGGTACCCTTTCCCAACCGCAGGGAAAGACTAGGCCACTTTGCAGTCAATGTTCATACAGCTGCAGAAAACTTAAAAAAAAAAAACACCCTGTGTTTCTCTCACACAGACGCAGCTCTCCCCAACCTGGCACCCTTTAGTTGCATTAGAACACAATTCCCATCATCCTCATCCAGCAGAAACCGCATGTGCAGGCTGGACAGCTGGTGAGGACAGCAGCCAAGCCCCACTCCCGGAGAAACCCAAGGGAGCTCCGAGGACCAGATGCAGTCAATCCACAGGTTGGACACAAGGTGGGCACACATTTTGGGAGGGGAAGACGGGACGGGAACCTCCCTCGAACCCTTTAGTTTTACTTCAGGGCAACGACTTCTGAGATGCTGGAATGTGCCCGCATCTTTGCAGGCTCCACAACCCAAATTCCTGCCGTAGAAACGCAAGTTTCTCTGGAGCAGAGCCTGATCCCAATGTCCCGCCCCTTGGAGAAGGGTTCAAATGGGCACGGTTGCGGTGTCCCTCGGCGTGGTCCCGCCGACCATCTTCTGGCCTGCTGGCCGGTCTCCCCGGCCGGCACTGTTCTGCCCCTCTGCTCGACAACACCTGTGCGCATGATTTGCGAGGGCTAGCGAGGCACTGAAAGGAGCATCCCTTAGCAGGAGGACCCCCCAGGACTGAAGCGGCTCCACCCCACGAGGAATCGGGTGTCAGCTCAGGCTCTCCTGGGGCCCAAGCTCCAGCAGCGCAGGCCCCCGCCAGGCAAGTGCAGAGATGGCGGTGGGCTGCCAGGACCGGGAGGTGCACTTGTATGGCCGGAAGTGCCGACGAGGCTAGCTTGCTTCCGTTGCAGGGGTCTGGACGCCCAGGAGCCGCTGCCGCTTCCTCTCCAGGTACCGTGCACGAGCGTCCCTGATGGATCGGTCATCGTTCCTCTTCTCCATCTTCTTCTCAGGTTCACCGGATGCTTTTCCTAAAGCCAAAGGGACGACACCCCCCCGCCAAATGAGAGAATTCTACTAGAGGGGTGGTTTGTAGCCCTGTGGCTGCTAGTGGCTTACAACCCCCGTGATCCCTGCTCTGAGCAGAAGCCCACAGCTGGGTCGCACTTTCACCCAAGTCTGCCTGGCAGTCGCTCTTCACAGATCCATCTTCCCCAGCACGGAACTCTCCAGGGGTGCTGGAATGCGACTCAGAGCAGAACGGAGCCCCAGTGTGGCGTGACCACGACTCAGGAGACAGGGGTTTGAGTCCCCGCTCAGCCCTGAAACCCATGGAGAGGCCACGTGACCTTCCTTGACTCTCGGGCTTTCCTACCCCACAGGGTTGTTGTGGGGGGAAACAGAGAAGGAGGCACCTGCACGCTGCTCTGGGCTTTTTGCAAGAGGAAGAAAGGTGGGGAATCCGTGCAGGTCGAGAATACAAAGCACAGCTCCCAGCACACTCTGGAAGGGACAAAGCCTAGCATGGCAGAGAGAGGCGTTCCTTTGCGAGGGACTCCGACGGGCTCCGGGGAGTCGCTCCCGTCTTCACTGCCTGAGTCACACCAGCCAGCCGGGGGATGGACAGGGCCAGGGCCAGCGCCAGCTGCCGGAGCCTCGAGCACCCGCTGCGCCGACCTTCCCACCAGCCGTACCATCAGCTGCTGGGCTTCCAGGACTTGCATCCAGGCACACAGCGAGAGGGCAAGCGGGCAAAGACGTCCCCCTGCCCGCCTTCCTTTCCCCACCCGTCTGGTGGGAAAAGGGGTGACCGAGCGGGTGCCAGGGACCCTTCCCGCCGGCAAGTGCCCAGCTCTGCTGACCCGTGGCGCCAGCACCGCCGGCAGCCCTCCCGCCTCACCGCTCCGCCCGGCGAGGCCCTCCCTGCTCCTCCACTTGGCCATCTCCTCCTCCGTCACTTCCTCCCGGGCCACGCTGCTCAGTTCGTACGCGTCGATCTGGTGGAGCCGGGGCAGCAGGTCCTGGATCCAGTCGTACCGAACCGGGCACACCGTCCTCAGGTAAACCTTGGAGGTCACCAGGACGTCATGGAAGAGGATCCACTCCAGCTCCGCTTCCTGACCGAAGAGCTGGGAAAGAAAACAAATGTGCTTCAGAGCTGCCAAGAATTCAGAACACGGGCCACGGGTTCAAGAGGAAGCTGGGAGCTGTAGGCCTGGTTTCTGCTCCCTGGGGAATGCTGGGAGTTGTAGGCCTGGTTTCTGCTCACTGGGGAATGCTGGGAGTTGTAGGCCTGGTTTCTGCTCACTGGGGAATGCTGGGAGTTAGAGACACGGGAAACTGACCACTCCGATGTCACTGGGGCTGCGGATCCCTTGCAGCTTTTATCTTGAGTTTAGAAGGCCTGTCCACAATGTGCTATAGGGTAAATTTACTGGACGGGTGCATTTCAGCACCATGGATAGCTCCTAGAAGGCCCCGGCCCATGAATCATGGGTTCCCAGCATCCACAGGCGGTAGGCCTTTGCCCCACTGGACTGAGGATGCTGGGCACTGCAGGCCCCCTTTTTTGCCCGAAACATGAACCAGGATTGTGACTTCAGTTCTACACACATGCAGGATTGTATTTCCCTCCCCTGAACGCCTCGGCTCCATCTTTACCCAGGAGGCTGGCCCAGTCAGTGCAGGGCTGATCCACCTTCCAGGAAAAATGGAGGAGCGGAACTACGATAAAGGAATCAATGAAATAACTCTTACAGCTGACAAAGGATGGATGTAGACTGTGCTGCCGTGGCCATCCATGGTGCGGAACGACCTGCCGACGGATCTGAAAGTCAGCGCAGAAGAGGGGCTTGCTCCAGCGCAGCCGGACCTCGGGGGGCCTGCCGGCGTCTCGTTCCGAAAAGCCCGACCTCACCACCTGCCCCCCGCGAGCTCTGGGGCTCAGCTGTTTCGCTGCTCTGCCCGGATGCTCCGGACGCACCTCCTCGCGACGCTGGCAAAATAGCCGGCGCACAAGCACCGCCTCAGCAACTCCTTCCTGGAGCCGTCGAACCGCTCTCTCGGGAAGTCCGGCAGCTGGAGGGGGGGAGATGTGCTTTAACAAGGAGGAAGCGCAGATGGATGAGAGGACAAGAAAGTGAATGCAGCCTTTTCCCCACGTTTTAATGCTGCTCAAATGGTTTTGCAGGTTTTTCAGTTTGCGTTTCTCAGGGTCCACAGCTCGTGCTCGCAATGCAGGCCTTCGCTAGTCCAATCTGGGCTGGGAAAATATCCAGCCTGGAACCCTAGAAACCACTGCAGGACATCGGTGTTGACAAGAATGGGCCCGATATCACCATCACCTCTATCCACTAGTGGGTCTGCTCACAGGCATTCTTAAAACAGAGACGATAAAGTGCAGCATAAAAGGTCAGCATGCATTTAAAACAGTTTAACTAGCTTTGGGGGTTTCCCCATTGAAATAGCTGAAGAACTCTCAGTTGAAAAAATTAGGCCTGTTCGAACAGCTGACAAGCCTGATCATCTACCATGAAAGGAAGCGAGGCTCTCACAAGTATCTGGGCAGCTTTCTGTGTTCCTGTTTAAATCAATCCTGCATTCAGAAACATGAGGACTAGGACCTTACTTTATTCTTAGGCAAAGATCTTGGGGTACTGCCCCTGCTTAGCAGGCAGCGGGTGCCAGGGTTGATTCCCTGGCTTCTTCAGGTAGGGCTGGAAAAACTCCTCCCTGAACACCCCCCCACCAGAAAACCCCTGCTCCTGGTCAGCGCTAGCCACACTGAGCTACCCAGAGCCAGAGCGGGAAGCGCCATCCATCAATTCACCTGCTTCAGCTTGCCGGTGATCTCGCGAAGCTGCCCTTCCACGCTGAACGCCAGTTTCAAGGCTCTCCAGTGGATCCAGTTCTCCTGGCACCAGGCTGCCGGGGACGCGCTGGACAAGGGCAGATGGGAAACAGGCAAGGGGTCAGACGTGTGCCCTCTTCCTTTTGAAAATGTAAAGGCTGCGGCAGGTGGGAGAGGCCCGTGTTGGCCCCCCGGCAGCAGGGCCAACTCCAGCTTCCCTTCACAAGCCCCACCCGGAAGCGGCAGCTGGGAGCGTGGCCAGCGGCCACCTCTCAGGGGCAGCGCAGCAGAACAGGAAGCTCCCCACTTTCGGAGGCTGCCTAAAGGACCGTCTGCCCCCCATCCAGACCTCCCTGCCCCCTTAGAGCAGCTCAGGGGGCCCTTCTACGAGAGCCCGCCCCCAGGGAGATGAGAGAGGGGCAACCAGGCACGGGGCCTTTTCCACTGCTGCTCCCCATCTCTGGAATTCCCTCCCTAGGGAAATTCGCCTGGCGCCATCTCTATTTTCCTTTCGGCGCCAGGCAAAGACATACCTATTCAGAAAATGTTTTGATATTCAGCCTGTAGGCTGTAGCCCTTTTAAATTGTTTTTATAGATGGTTAATTCAATATGCTTTAATTGGTTTTTAATGTGTGTTTACACTTGGTATGTTTTACACTGTAAGCCGCCTAGGAAGGCCTCGGCAATTACAGGCAGCTTATAAAGAAAAGAAATACATAAAGGCCACCCCAGTGGGCTGCCCCAGGGACCCACTGCGAGGGTCTCCGTGGAACACACCCCACGGACCCCAGTGGGGCTTAACGCAGCAAAGCAGGGTGGGGCTCAGCCCCCACCCATCCCGCTGTACCTCGACTTGCACTGTTCAAAGATGCTCAGGAGCGTCGCAAAGTCATTCCGCCCTCCCACCCGCGAAGCGAAGTCGCGGTGCCGAAGCTCGGCTTCCTTTTGCCACTCCGGGTCTCCTGGAGACAGACAAAGCAGGGAACAACCCACTGAATAGAGTCAGCCCAAAGATGCCCGGACCGTCGTTGCTGCCCAAGCTCTCTGCGTGATGTGCGACTTCAGAGGAAAGAATGATAAATGAATCAACACTGTGGCTGCATTTTAATGCTATCTAAATCCTGCCTTGAATGAATCACCAGTTGGAATTAAGATTGCTGGGAGAAATATCAACAACCTCAGATATGCAGATGATACAGAAAGTGAAGAGGAACTAAAGCGCCTCTTGATGCAGGTGAAGAAGGAGAGTGCGAAAGTTGGCTTGAAACTCAACATTAAGAAAACTAAGATCATGGGATCTGGTCCTATCACTTCCTGGCAAATAGATGGGGAAGAAATGGAGGTAGTGACAGATTTTATTTTCCTGGGCTCCAAGATCACCGCAGATGGGGACTGCAGCCAAGAAATTAAAAGGTGCTTGCTCCTGGGGAGGAAAGCTATGGCAAATCTAGACAGCATACTAAAAAGCAGAGATATCACCTTGCTGACAAAAGTTCATATGGTCAGAGCGATGGTTTTCCCAGTTGCAACGTATGGCTGTGAAAGCTGGACCATAAGGAAGGCTGAGCGCCGAAGGATTGAGGCCTTTGAATTGTGCTGCTGGAGGAGATTCCTGCGAGTCCCTTGGACCGCAAGGCGATCAAACCGGTCAGTCCCAGAGGAGATCAACCCTGACTGCTCTTTGGAAGGCCAGATCCTGAAGATGAAACTCAAATACTTTGGCCACCTAATGAGAAGGACGGACTCCCTGGAGAAGAGCCTGATGCTGGGAACAATAGATGGCAAAAGAAGAAGGGGACGGCAGAGGGTGAGGTGGCTGGATGGGGTCACTGGGGTGAGCTTGGGTGGACTCTGAGGGATGCTGGAGAACAGGAAGGCCTGGAGGAGTGTTGTCCATGGGGTCGCGATGGGTCGGGCACGACTTCGCGACTAACAACAACAACAAATCCCGCCTTTTGTCCTGCAAGGCTCATCTCTGCAAAACATCTCATCGACACAACCACCCTGCGAGGTAGATCGGGCTGGGAAGACACGACTAGCCCGGGGTCACTGACTGAGCTTCATGGCTGAGGGGACTTCAGCCAGATGCAAAGCCCAGTCCAACATCCTAACCGTTACACCCAGAAATATTTAAACACCTCCTACAGACACGTTTATCTACTGTGATGTTCTACGAACCTTTAAGGTGTTAACCGGGGTTTTTAGTTTGATTAACTGTACAGCTTTTATTGTTGTGAACCACGCCGGATACACAACAAGGAAAAGCAGGATATAAGAACAGGACATAAATGCTTCGTTTAAGTTTTTAAGCCAGAAGATGTGCGCATCGTTAAAGTATTATCATCTTGTATTTATATCCCACCTCTTTTTCCTGTAGTGTTGAACCCAAAGTGGCTTATAAGTTGAGAGCGAGTGACTGGCCCGAAGTCACCCAGGCCGTTCCATGGCCAGGTGGGGACCAGAACCCGAACTCTGGAGTCCCGGCCGTGTGCTCTGGACCAGCGCACCATGCTGGCTCTCTGCACGGACTCGCAATCAGGAAACCGTTGTCTCTGACCATGGGCAGACTAACTTTCTGTTGCTACGGCTCAGCGTGCAGTCACAGAAAGCACACTTAAAAAAAAAATCCGGAAAACTTTTAAAGAAACTTGGGGAGGGATTGATGACTGGTGAAGCAATGCTCATTTTCAAAGGTCCACTTTCAGAACACCACACGACTGGCCTGCTTCGAAGATCAAAGTTAATGTTTTACAGAGAGAGCAGACCTTCGGCCTTTGACAACCACTGTTCCTGCTCAAGCTCTTCCTTGCCCTGTCCTTTTGCTTTTCTGGGGAAGGGGAATCCCACGGCTGTGACAAACCTGAGCTGTGGCAAAGAAACAGCCAACCCTTACTCGCCTATGGCAAGTACGACTTAGTTCCAGGTGAGCGGTTTTATGTAAATTAGGGAAGCCCATCCTTTTTTCTTCCTTGTATATTAGTGATACATCAGTGCCAACATGGGGCATGTCAAGGCAGGACATAATCCAACGCAAATTAAAGCAAACAAAGCCTACAGTTACTACATCTAGTTTATACCTTTTTAAAGACTTAATTTTTTAAAAATGTAACATCTAAAAAGATTTCATAGCTTTACAAATTAAAAGCATATGTAAACAGATGTCTAAGTCATGCTTTATATTAAAACCTTTCACATTTTAAACAAACTGATATATTTTTGTTTTTATGTTAAAAAATAAGTACAAATTTCACAAATGTAGAAATTGTTGATCATTTTGCATGTAGCATCCGACCAAGTTTTTCTTGCTTTTTAATGCGGCGTTTTCAAATGGAAAATGCCATTTTTCTCAATGAGGAGCGCGGATTGCTCTGGTACGCTAGTTTATGTTCATTTTTTCCACAGCCCCGAATAAAGCCTTCTCGGCAACCCAGCCCCGCTAGCCTCACAGGAGACTCTGTCTCGCGGCTGGGGCTGGAAGCACCCTGCCAGTTACCTGGTCGGATGAAGACGGTCTCCACGGACAACATGGCCGCAACCGGGAGCATCAAGTCTTCGCAGCCTAGAGCGGCAGCCTTGATCACCGCACAGGTCAGGTTCGGAGGGAGGGGGAACTGCACCATGAACTCGCCGTGCCTAGTCACATGACCCCCCCTAATGGGAAAGAAGAGGAGGAAAGACATTACGCTGATGGATGTTTCCCTCCATGGTTCATACGGGACATCTCTCCACCCTGATCCACACGCTTTTGCTTCTGTAAAATGTAGAATGACATCCGGCGGCAGAAGTCAGAAATTCTCACATCATTCCGTAAGAAGCTGCCTTTTGCCATCCGGTTTCCCAACATGGTGCCCTCTTAACCAGCAACCATCACGGGAGTGGGACGCCGAAGCCAAGCTGAGGAAGGCAGTAGCGGTTCGACCGCTGGAGAGACCCTGGGGCAAGTCTGGGTTTGAGTCCCCACTCAGCCATGCAGTGTACTAGCTGATTTTGGGCTGACCGGGTTCAAGGCAACACAATCACGTTAAATTATGACTTGTTGTTCAGCCCATGGGTGATCTTGCTGTCTGCACCCAACAAGCAACGGCTTATGATCCACCAACAACCCCTGAAGATAACCTCCCGGCTTGTTGGTGGGTCGTCCACCGTGCTTTTGTTATCCCAGCTGATTCAGACCACACCTGGGTTCTGCCTCCCCCCTTTTCGCACATTTTCTCTCAGCCAAGCTCAGCGTACACCTCCGAATCAGAAACGGGGCTTCTCTGCCCCTTCAGGGAAAGATGTGGATCATGCCACCCTCCAAGCTCCCCTGCCCAGACTCCTCTTTCCAAGATGCTCCGCTCGGGGAGGTCCAAGTCTTCCTTCAGAGAGGAATCATCTGGGGAGACTTGGGAATTTCCGGAAGAAGGCCGATGCAACCACACAGTTGCGTTTGGCTCCGTCGATGTACCTGTCGATGGCGTTGCACTGATAAAGCTGCTTCAGGGCTTCCAGAATATGCCTTTCCTCCGGGCAGTCCAAGTAGGGAAACCTATGCAGAAAGAAATGCAAGGAATCCAGTCACTTGGGGTAGTACACTACCCCGTTCCAAGAACAATGGAAGAATAATTGGAGGTCATGGGCGGCGCCAGGGGAAAGAGGATGACAGCTTTCACACAGAGGGTGGTGTCAGACACGTTGGCAAGGTTCCCCAGATTGGATCAGCCCTGCAGTGAGAGCTGGAGTGCTGTAGTGGTTACGACGATACCCGGATTCTAATCCCCACTCAACCATGGCGCTCACTGGGGGATGTTGGACCAGCCTAATCGACTTTGCAGGACTGTTGTGAGGATGAAGCGGAGAGAAGGATTATGCAAGACACTTTGGCTCCTTCATCTTATAGGAAGAAATAGGAATAAAAGAAAGGGATGCACATCCTTTAAGATGCTTGATTTTAAATCCGTATTTGTTTTATTCCTTATGGTACCCCAACAGAGTGCTTTCCAAAGGGGACAGGCAAGAGATCCTTTTGACCCCAGGCAGCACGGTCCATGCTAAGCCATGGACGATGGGATCTGTAATCCAACACTTGAGAAGCCTTTCCCCCAACCGTTAACTGATTGTGTTTATTAAGCGTTGCATGAAATATACTTCTCTAAGTAATACGGGACGGGTCAGTTTGCCCTGACTCTCAGCCTAGCCTACCTCACAGGGATGAAATCTGAGAGGAGGATCCTCTGGGGTCCCTGGAGGAGAGGGCAGGATCTGGCGGCAGCCCACAAAATATGAGCGATGAGGCTAGATCAGCCTCCCGCTCCCCAACCCCTGCCCAGCGCCAAGAGGCATTACCTGATGACATCATGTATGCCAAGGCATTTCAGCGTCAGGACGACTGACGTCAGGCTGGTCCGCCTGATCTCTGGGACCATGTGGTCAGGCATACACTCCTCCCAGAACTCCTTGCTGTACACGCGGTAGCATTCCCCGGACGCTGTCCGGCCCGCGCGGCCAGCCCGCTGCAAGGCTTCGCTTCTGCAGAGCACAAAATGCGTATTTCTCACGTTCATTGCTCTCCGTTCAGGAGCATTCAGAAGACTGTGCCAACAGCCAGCACTGTTAGTTAGTTATTTAAGGTTTTTCTATGCCATCCCATGACTAAATAGCCTCTGGACGGCTTACAAAGGACGAAAACCCAAAAAGCCAAGAACAAAAAAACCTTGTGGGGCAGACCCCGCTCAGAAATGCACAGACTGCTCCCTGAAGGGGCTACGGAGAGGCACGGCGGCAGGAACCACGCCTGGCGTGTCCAGGCACGTGGCTTCCCTCAGACCAGATGTGCGCAGCTCCAGCAGCTGCCTAAGTGCCCTGTGGATTCCGCTGTGCCAGCCAAGAGCTCTTCCGACTTGACTTTCTGCTGGTCATCATCCTAATAAAGCTGAAACGCAGCATCCCACGGGCAAACGGGAGCTTCCTAGGAAATACCGTTCTCTGAGCAGCACATGACCCAGCGTGTCCATGAACTTACTTGGAGATCGGGACCACTTCCAGCATGTCTAGGCCCACTCTTGGGTTGTGGCTTAGCTGCTTTACAAATCCGCTGTCCACCACGTACCTTAAAAGGAAGACAGATGCAACTCATGCAATGAAAATACTGTCATGCATTCCCGAGACAATACGAAGCCCCTGTGCAGAACCGCTGGGAGAGACTGTTTGGAACCGGGAGTGGGGGATCGGACTGTGCCCTGCTTTCACCCTCCTTTCTTTCCCTGGCTCCAGGGAAGCTGCAGAAGAGTTGAACTGAAGCCAGAAATTGAGTATAAGCAAGTTGTGTACAAAAGACCACAGCTTAATCCAAACAAAATAGAAACTGCTGGTTAGTGGAGAAGCCAGGATTATAATCCTGCTTCAAATCATGGTTGACATCCTGGTTTGTTGCAAAGCTGGTAACTGGATTTTCTTGATTCAGACAAAATGGAAAACTGTGGTTAATTTCAGCTTCCAATAGTCCTAGTTCTACCTATCAGATAATCTTAGCCTACAAGCTACTGTGAGATCAATACTAAACTGCAGTCCCTTTTCTGGCTCTCTCAGTTTCAAACAAAAGCAAAAATAGAACAGCTAACCTGATTCCATCAATTGTCAGTGATGTTGCAGCGATGTTGGTGGACACGACGCATTTCCGGATGCCTGGAGGAGGCAGGAGAAATATCCTTCTCTGCTGGTCTAAAGGCAGAACCAGGGAAAGAATAAAGATGACTTTAGGCCCGGGTTCCCTGTAGTTGAACAGCAAAAGTTGGCAATATTTATTTATTTTGTTATAGGTCTCATCTCTCTAGATGGATTACAGTTAAAACACAGAAAAGCCATAGAACAACTTAAAATATAAATAAATGTAATATAAGCATCAAATAGAGTACAGAGCAAAACTGGTATTGGTAAAACAGCGGTGCGAACCTCAACATCTGGAGAAAAGAGCCGCACGGCAAAAAATGGACAGGAGAAGAGTAGGACCCAAAGAAGATCCACCTTCCCCACCTCAAGGGGTGTGGAGCGACACCCACCATCATCCCCAGCTGTACAGGGCTGACGGGAGGTGTCTCGCCGCATTGCTGAAGGGTGGGCTGGGAGGCAAGGAGGGCGTGAGCAAGAGATGGCAAAAGGCCCTGCGCAAACAAAACCAGCTCACCGGTCGACATGGAGCCATACAGGGGCAAGACAAGCAGGCCTTCGACGGACGGGTCTCTCACGTCAAAGCGGTAATCGATCGACTCGGCCTTTTGGAACAGCAACTGGCAAGTTCTTTCGATCTCGGACTGACCTGAAATGGAAGCACAAGAAGCTTTTAATTCTGAAGGCTCTAAAACGGTGGGTTAAAACCGCTCAACTAGGACTGGATCACACCCCAAAGCAGTCCAAAGTTGGGGTTCGCCAACCACAAGCGACCCACCGCACAGAGCCCAACAACCCACGGTGGGTCCTCTTCCATGGATTGTTTGGCCTATGGTTTGCTACCATGGCTGGGTTCAGACGACATAAACCCACACTCAACCCATGTCGGCTAACTTGGCTGGGTTTCAGCAACAACCCACACTCAACCCATGGATGTGGCTTATACAGACATGACCCATACGCTGCAGAGTACAAATGGCCGGTCACTGGACAAAATCCAGCCTGCTCATTTCTGACAAAATCTGAGAGCGCGGCAGCATCCAAGCAAGACCTTGCGGCAGCTGAAGGAGCAAGAAGGCCCCTGTGCTCCTCAGTTCACTTCACACTGCAGCTGGGGAAGTAAAACTGTTGCCCCCCCAAAGCAGAATCGGGCAACTTCTCTTACCATTATCTCTTAGCACTGGCTGTGCTGATGGAAGGTAGAGGCCAAATTCTGAATAATCACCTCTCCACAAGTATACCTGCCTGGCCCTAAGACTGCCTCCAACAGTCCTCTGGCCAAAGGAAACGAGGTCAACAGCTACTAAAAACAGGGCCTGTTCTGGGGTGGCACCCCAACTCTGGATTGCGCTTCCCAGAGAGTTTCAGTTGGTGCCACACTCCTGTTCCTGCCAGTGGGAAGCCCTTCCTCTTTTGCTCAGGCCCTTGAATATTCGTGACAGTTCAAATCTGTTACTGTATTTTAAATCTTGCTGCTACCTTATTTTGGTCCATTGAAAACTTGTTTCTAGATTATACTGTGCTTTATTTTATGGTTTTAACTTTTGTGAACTCCCAGGGAGCAGAAGTATAATAAAGACAGGCCGACGATGAGCGGGGCAGCCCCAGTCTCCAGCGGGAAAATTGGCCGAAGTCAATTTCATTGGCGTAAGTCTATTTTAATTACTGCACACAGTTCCGAGCACTGTTTGATCGAATGGTTTATAAAAGCCTTAAATAAGTAAGTCCCCCTTGGAAGAGGGATTTTCATAAGACCCTTAATTTCAGGGTCTAAAATTGTCTCACTGGGCTCACTGTCATAGGATGACCACAATATAGTATTTTAATGCCACTACCAAAATCGCCTATTTGGCACGGGGATCAAATGTCTGGAAACGGGAAGAGACGCTCACCTGTCAGAAAAACCAGGATGTCTCCAGCTGCGCTGTTCAAGTGCAAGTCCAAGGTCACTTTGACAGCCTGAAACAAGTGGCGTTAATGGAATTAAGACGCACCAGAGGGAGATCCTGTTTCATGAGAAACGCTGGTGGCAATTTCCCGTTCTTGCGCTTAGTATGCACAAAGGTACTCAGGGCCTTCCTCCATGGGGGAAAAAAAGAAAAAGAAACACAAGACACCAGAAAAGCTGAGCTCCACTGCCCAAGATTTGGCCTTTCATATTCTATTTTCGGTCAAAGGAGAAAAGGACGGCAGAGGATGAGGGGGCTGGATGGAGCCACTGGGGCGGTGGGTGTGGGCTTGGGAGGACTCCGAGGGATGGATGAGGACAGGAGAGCCTGGAGGAACGCTGTCTGTGGGGTCATGATGGGTCAGGCATGACTTTGCAACTGAACAAAAAAAAAATCTGTTTTTACTCTGCCATATGGGTGAAGACTCAGCTGGCACCTGGGGGTTACATCAAATGAAAGGAGTTAGCCTTCCAGCCAGAAGGCCAATCTGGCTCACCTAGAAGGCCCGACTTGGCTCCCTCCAGAGGGGTTGGATTACAACACCCATTAGTCCCACACAGCATGGCCCATGGTCCAGAAAGCTGGGAATGGAAAGCCTCTGGAAAGCAGACCTCCATCCAGAAGTGTTCTTGGAAGCCCCTTCCATAAACACGTTTTAGATCAAGCCAGGAGACAGAACACAATTTGAGAAATCTAAGCCCCTTTTCTCAGGGACCGCTTAAGAAACGGCATTTGTCAAGTCCTTTCCTCCGCTGCATTGTTTAATTGTTGATTATATATATATATATATATATAGTGCAAACCATCATTCGATTTTTAATGAATGATGGGATAAAAGAAAATTAAATACGTAACTACATCCCCAAAAGGCCAGAGAGAGAGAGAAGCGCTCCCCAGAGAGGTTCGCCTGACACCGTCATTATATGCTTTTCGGCACCTGGTCAAGGCCTTTTTATTTACCCAATATTTAAATGTGTAACAGATTTTAATTAATTTTACTTCAGTCGTGGGTTATTTACTTTTATTATTGTTGGGGTATTTATACAATGGTAGTATTTATTTGTATTTACTGTTTGTATTTATTTTTACTGTTATATTTATGGATTTGCTGTGAGCTGTCCAGAGACTCAGTGCAATTGGACGGGCAAAAAATGCTCCAAACAAATAAGCAAGCAAGCAAGCAAAATCCCAGATGTGAGGCCTGCATCTGGACTACAGGTTTTTATCCGAGGGGTGGGGGGGATGAGAGAACTCCCCCCCCCACAAAAAAACCCTTCCCAAGATGGTACCTCAGTAACATACACAGAGCTATTGGCATCCTTCGGGCCGAGGCGACCACAGAAAATCTCTCTGACGGGATAGCTCCTTCCCGGAATGTCCACCACCAAACAGCCGTCGAAAAATTTGGAGAACTTGTCCGTGTCCAAGGTAGCTGACATTGCAACCACCTTCAAGGCCTTCTTTCTCTGCGGAGGCTTTTTGCCCTGGAACATCTGCTTCAGCAAGCCAAACAGGATATCCTGCAGACGGGGAGCCGAGATGAGCGTCAAGTCACAGCAAACTCCCCAAGGGAAGATGCGAGGCTGCCCCTGACGCAGCCCCCCCCCCCCCGATCCCTCCTGGGCCAACCAGCCCAGATCACAGCATGACACCAGAAGCGACCTCTTAGAAAAACCCTTGTGTCTGAATGTCCGCATTCTGCCTGGCAGTCCTGCTTCACATGTGCCGATTCATCTCCGTTTTTCATTTTAATACCTGGGAGCATCCAAACATGAAGTCAAGCACCCCCACTCTCAAATACCGCCAAGTTACTAGTCCATAATAATTGAAACTCCCTGACGTGCTCTCACATGTCACTGATTGGTGAGAACTAATAAAGAGGAGGCCGACAAGACCCCAGCGTGGTAGCAAAGCGGGAGGCAAGATCTGTGCAGGAACAGCTGCAAAAATATGTTTCTTTCCCTGCCAAAATAACACCCATAAACACGTTGTACCAAAAATCTGCTCTCCAGCTTTTTATTTTTCTCCTTATCTTTTCATTCTGTGCCTTTTAGATGACAAATAGGAGGAGGAAAGGGACAGCTGCAGAATGACTAAGCCTCTTTGGGTCCCCCCCCCCCGAAGAGCAGGGCTCAATAAATGTTTTGAAATTCATGAGCTGAAGACCACCCTCCAGCAGATGTAGAAATTCCCTGCCTGATCACCTAGAAGAAATTTCCACGCGCTCCAGGCAAACAGCTGTTTATGGGACTCCTTTGCCACCACCTACCGTGCTCAGGCTTCGCTCGTGAGCTTCATCAAGGATAACAACGCTGTACTTGGAAAGATGTGGATCTGCCAATATCCGCCTCAGCAGGCACCCGTCCGTCATATATGTGATCGAAGTTTCCTGCGCAATAGTTAAACCAGGCACCCAGTCAGAGATGCGGTCTTAGATACAGAGAACGGAAGAGCATTCATAGGTGTGTGAGTGTTTCTGGATTAAAAATGGGAGAAGGGGGTCATCGCTGAAAAGAGACATCTTCACACAGTTTGGGAATGTAATACCTGACAAAGAGCATGAATCGAACTGTACACAAAGGCTATCCTTCTCTAGCCCGCAATTAGAGAATTTTACAGCTGTGCTAATTTATCGTGGGGACTGAAGGTTCTGTTCTTATACTCTCTGCATGTCTCTCTTCCTTACCGTCTGTTACCCTTTGTAGTTTTTCCATACACTTGGGATGGAGCTCTGGGTTCAGAAAGGCAATACATAAATGTATCAACCAATGACAAAGTTATCTATTTAATTAATTGCTGATCTTATCTGCTCCGCAATTTAAAGATGCAACACGAGGGGAAGGCAACCCGGCAAGCCCTCTTCAGATGCGTACCTCCGAGATGCAGTCTTCAAAGCGAACCTGGTACCCAACCAGGCTGCCCAGGGGGCAGTTCATCTCCTCAGCCACCCTCTGTGCGGCGCATATGGCAGCCATCCGCCGTGGCTGCGTCACGACAATCATGCCATGCTCAGCAAAACCTAAGAACGGGAACAGAAGGGCTCCAGAAAGATCCACAGGAAGAGGAGGTGCTCTGAGAAGAGACAGGTTTCTAAAGAGAGAGCCTTTGGGCTATTAAAAAGTAATAAATATAAAAAGCTACTCTTCCTTCAGAACAGAAAGCTACAACAAAATGTTGCAGCATAGAGTTCCAGGTTCTAGAAGCTTCATTTCCTTCCTCTTTTCCATTGTCCCCTCTTAGGGCATTTCATCAGGGGAGGGGGGGAGGATTTCTGCAAAATTTGGCTTTTTCCAAAAGTGTCTTGATACTTCCCCAACACACAGAGACAGTGCCTGTTGGGTTATATAAAGCACCACATGAGTTCACCAGAAAGTGAGTTCACAAATAATATATTGGACAGGATAGGTAACTTGCAACCTAAATCTCCCATAATCCCTCACCACTGACTATGCCAGTAATTTAATCTCTTTTTAAGCTAAGGGAAGCTCCCCCAAATGTCTTAAGAGAAAACAGAAAACAGTTACCTTCTTCAAATAAGTATTTTGGAAGCTGAGTAGTTTTGCCACTCCCCGTCTCGCCTGTCACCACAAGGAACGAGTTGTCTCGAACGGCCTCGACTAATTTCCTCCGGAATCTGCAAATCGGCAGAGCTGCAAAGCCCAAGTCTTCTTTCCTTTTTCCAGTTTGCACTTTGGGCTTTCGCTCCATCAGTAAATAAAATCAGGCCTGAAACAAGAGTAACATGCATGGGATTGCACCGTAAGAAACAGTGCCTGGTTTCCTTGCTTTCCTTTCCCCTCCGTATCCCTTCTTCCTTTTGTGACGGGACTTTTGGCTTTTGAGCCTGTGAGCAGGGCCAGCTTGATTTTATTCCAGACGCAGCTCTTGGCATCTTCAGGCGCTTCACAAATGATCATTACAGCACCGCCAAAGAATTAAGTAAAAATGCAAGTAGGACCATCCGCAGAAGCGCAAGGCTCCAGATTCGAGTCACTCCAGTCAAGTATTTCCCCCAGCCTGGTCTCCCTTGTTCCCCAAATATCCGGTCGGAATCCCACACCCCCTAAGTAGGCACTACTGCTGGGATGCAGTGAGTCGCAGGACTACTTGTTATTTATTTTGTACTGTTATTTATTTGCTGGAAGCCGCCTTGAGGCTTACGTGAATGGGGCGGCATACAAGTTTCCCAAATAAATAAATGAATGAATGAATGAAAGAATGAATGAATGAAGCCGCCCTGAGGCTTATGCGAATGGGGCGGCATACAAGTTTCCCAAATAAATAAATAAACAAATTTCGGCAGAGGCGTAAGGCTGGGATCGTGTGCTGCGGATGTTGAGGACGCCCAGCATTTGGTGGGGGGGGGGGGGGAGAAGGAGGCCCGCAAACGCGGCAGAGGCCGCACAGGGTGGGCCCGCAAAGGCTCCCCCGGGCCGGGCCGGGCCGGGCCCTGCGGCGGCCTACACGCTGGAAAGCACGCGCGTCCCAGGAAGGCAGCCCGGGCCCCGTGGAGGGAGGGAGGCCGGGAGGCCGGGAGGCCGGAGCCGGGAAGGCACGGGCCGGGGCCGGGGCCGGGGCCGGGGAAGGGGCTTGTCCCGGGGGCAGCCCGCCACGAGCCCCTGCGGCGAGGCTCCCAGGGGCCGCCGGTGCGGAGGGCAGGGGCCTGAGGGGCACCTGCCCCCCGTGGGCCCACCCTGATCCGCGCGCGTTAACCCCTGGACAACGGGGACGCTTCCAAGATCACCGGGAGCTGCTCTGCCCGGGGCCCAGCATGCTGATCAGACGGCCCTGCTGGGGAGCATGGGCAGAGGGCCCCGCCGCCCCACGCCTCGCCCCAGGCCACACGGGGGGCAGCCGCCGCCCCGCCTCCCCCCCCCGCGGGCACACACCTTTCCGCAGGTGACCGGCGGCCACGTGACTCCGCGGCACCGGCCGCGCGCCCGCCGCCGCCGCCGCCGCCCCAGCCCGGAACGAGAACCAACCCGGACGCTCCGCTGACGTCACCCGCGCGGCTGGCCGGGGCACGCTGGGAGTTGTAGGACGTGGCCTCTGGCTGCGACTCCCAGCAGCCCTTGCGAACGGGCCGGAGCTGCCGGGGCTGCGTTCGCTGCTTGGTTTTCCGACGTGCGGCGCTTCCGCGTTCGCTGTGCGCAGTTTTGCGTGGCTTGATTTTCGTGGAGATCAAACGTCGTTTTGGCGAAAGGCATCCCAAAATGTTTCGACTGAAGAGCGTCCTTCGAGCCCCCGTGCATATTGAGAAAATAAAAATGCCCTGCAGGTTTAGGGCAGGTTTCTATGGCTGGAGAACACTGGAAAATGTAGGACTTCAGGGCTTGCGAATCACGTTAAATCTAGGACTCGGTGTTAAAGACAGAAACTTGAGAAAATGAGGGGAACTTATTTTGAGCACATAGTATACACAGAGAGAGCCCGAGGGAAAGATGCTTTAATTTAAAACGCTCAGTGCGGCATTATTTGAAAGACAAAGCGAATACATCTGGGATGTACTCGCTTCTGTTTTTTAGTTCCACCTCACACCCCTCTGAACCTTTTATTCCCGTCCCGTGTAACCATTGCTGTATAATTCCAGCAACTGTCAGAAGGTGGCAGTACAACCATGTTCGTGTGTACACACACACTCACACACACACACACACGATATCAACAGGAATGTTATATATGTAAAACAGAATTTCGGTCAAAGTTAATGCCCTGTTATTATTACTACATGATTCCTGCCATTTCTCTTGTAGGGTATCCAAGGAAGCTAGCACGGGCTTTCTTCCCCCATCTCATTTTGTCTTCAAAACAACCCTGTAAGGTAGGATAAGTGGCAACCCACTGCCTAGCCCAAAGTCAAGCGGTGAGATGCTTGGCCCAGCGGAGGCTGCAAACCGAGGCTCCCAGGTCCCAGTCCAATGCCCACTGGCTCCCCGGCTATCCAGAACTGCCTTCTCCAACCAGCATTTGACTGTAACTCCCAGAATCCCCTAGCCAGCCAGCCAGCCTGCCTTGGAATGCTGGGAGTTTGAGTCCAGCGCCTCTGGAAGGCACTGCGTTGGTGAATTGGCCCAAATGAGGCGGAGTGAAGCAGCCGCCTCAAACAGTTGGTGCTCGGAGGTGACTGTAGATCTGTGGGTTATACAATCTGCCCTGTGCCCCCAGTCGGAAGCTGCCCTCAAGGTGGTGGAAGATGGGGCTGTCCCACAGCCAGGGCTGTGTGGTGGTTAGAGAGCCGGACTGGGGAGCTGGGAGATCCAGGTTCTAGTCCCCACCCGGCCATGAAGCGCCTTCTCAGCCTAACCTACCTCCCCATTTGTTTGTTTTTTAAAATTGTGTTATTCGTATTTGATATCCTTCCTTTTTCCTTTCAAGGAGCTCAAGGCAGCTTACCTTATGCCCTCCCTCTCAATCTTATCTTCTCGACAACAACCCTGTGAGGTAGGTCGGGTTGAGAGGCTGTGACCGACCCACTGTTGTTGTGAGAATAAAAGGGAGCTTTGTAAGCCATCCTGGGTTCCTCACAAAAGGAAAAAAAGTGGCATATAAATGCGGTGTGACGATAATGATAAATGTCAGTTCACTCGGTCTGTGTACAAGGAATAGGAGAATACACCTTCTTGGTCATGATCTCCAGAGGAGGCAAAATACCTCCTCTGCAGTTTGCATACCTTTTCCATGCGAAATACCTGTGCTGAGGGTATCCCCTTCGACTGGAATTACACAGCGCTCTCTTGGCCAAAAGTGCAAGCAGTCACCACTGAGACAATTCCATCTGAAACAAACCGGGATGAAACACACCTTTGGTCTGTGTGATTAAACCTGCAATGGCTCCATCTCATAAACAGGCTTTCCTTCCAGGTCCCATCATCCCCAGCCAACATGGCCAACAGCAGCTGCATTGGACTGCACCCTTAACACAGGGGTGCCCACGATGCACAGAAGAGGAGATGGACGCACGCATCTCTTTGAATAAAAGGGGTGTTGATTTATACCATCCTGCTTGGGGAAAAGCACAGAAAGTGCCTAATTTGGCATTAGTCACAACAAAACAAATGCTTCCTGCTTTTTGAGGCGCTTTCCTTGGCAACGATCTGTTGCAAAAGGATCTGTTTTAATGAGACGATATCAGAAGTAGCTATGCTCGTTTGCAACCAGATGCATTTCACAAAACCATCCACGGCCGACCTCATCCTAGGAGTTTATTTCCAGGTGATGATCGAACAGATGTTCCTGTCTGTGTTTCAGGTAGTTTCCCCATCATGCACACACCATCTTAAAATATGCGTGCCTGGATGAACCTGGCCATGAACAGTTTGCTAATTGATGTGAGAATTAGCCACACAGCTGTTCCAGAGCCCTCCTGCGCAGAAGGAAGCAGGTGCAAAGTTGTGAGACAAAAGGTCACGGGGTCTTGGCAACGCACCGCCTGCATCTCGCCTCCCTGCTAAAACTGCAGAAATCCAGTCGGATGTTCAGGTGATTCGATGCAGATGATTGAACGCACGCACCGCGGTGCTCCTGCGCAGACACACGTCAGGACGCTCGGAGAGCAATTTCAGATGCTGTCGGATGCAAGGCGAAGATCGCTACCGTTTGTGTGTCTTGTGTTGCACTGTGACAACACCACCTCGAGATGAAGACATTTTTGCACGTTGGGTTTTTTTTTCCTTTTAGTAAGGCAAAAGGTGCACTCCTGTGCAAGCTTAGGCAGAAAACAGCCTTCGATTCCTGGGAATTGGACTTTTCTCTGTCTCAGTTTGCACTGGATTGCACCGAAGTGTCTGGGACAGGTGCAGAACAGGGCGGCCAAGAGAAGTGGGTTGAGGCGTCCTGATTCAAGCATCCGATGGGGGTTGCTTTGAGCCCAGGCCCCAGCCCCAAATTCCAGACCTAGTTGTGCCCCCGGCCGGATCTTTCTCTGTGTGTGTGTCCTCCGCCCCTAGTCCCATCTCTCTGCCACAAGGCCAATTTACTGACGGAGTGATAAACAAAACCCTCTTACCGACAACAAAGCGAGAGGCAAACTGTCTATTTGAGTCTGACATGCCAGTCTCTGGTCACTAAGCGGACCTGACAGCTCGAATCACGGTGACGTTAAAAAGCCCGGGTAGACTTTGTGCTCCGGGCTTTGTGGGTCTTTGCGAGCCTTCCCTGTCCTCCAGGGCATCCCAAAATGACAGCAGCTTCCCTGAGAGCTGATCACTTGGAAAGCAACGAGCTGCCGCTGTCTTCCTGGGGATTTTATGCACGTTTGCTCTGTTCTCGACTTCAGAAGAGGCCTGCCGGGCCTGACCAAATGCCAGCTTTCTGCTCACTCGCTGGCCCATCAACTGACTGACTCGCTAGCAGGTTGGGAGAGCAACAGCAGCTCCTGACCATGTTCCCCAGCAACTGCTGCACATGGGTCTTGGAGGTAGGCACCGAGAGCCCGGCCCGACATGGAGTTGCCCACTCTCTCTCAAAGCAGTCCGGAGTGGTGGCCGTCACTCCATCTAGCCTGGCCGACCTCACAGGGTTGTTGTGGCGAGTGTAAAAATCGAGCGAGCACGTTGAAGTTCCCCAGTATATTGGCCTTGCGGTTTAATGCAGTGCTGGGTGAAGCTACTGTTTTTCTCTGCCCTGCATCTTGCCACTCGGCGACGCATCCCTCTCCGGGATAGGGCATGGATGGCCCTCGCCCGGCCCCATCACGGGACCCCCGTGACACTGGAAACGAGGCTTGATTCAGCTGCTTACGTTGAAAGGCTGAGCTCTCTTGAGGACCCAGAAGCCCAGTTCACAGTCCATCTAACTCACCGTTGCTTAACTCCACGGGTGGGGAACAGATTGCTCTCCAAATGCGTGGGACTTCAAGTCCCAGCAGTCCCAGCCATGCTGGCAGAGGCTTCTGGTGCTGAAGTCCAAAACCGCTGGTGATCTGGCCCAGTCCACACCAGCCCCCTGCAATGCAGGGCCTCCTGGGTTCTCTGGCCCGCCACACCCAGCATCCCCGAGTCCTTCGGCCCGCACGGCCCTTCCTGGAGAAGCAGGCTGCACGGCCCAGGCAGTGGGGGCTCCCACGCTTGCGTCCTCGAGCACCGGAGAAGAGCGTGTGCCCACCGACCCGGCCGTGACAGCTGCTTGCGGGCTGAAATCCCCTCACCCAACATCCCGGGATGTATAAATATCCCTCTCTGATCTGCTTTTAGAACAAACACCTTGTCAGGTTTTCTGTCCTGGAAAAAAACAGGCAAGGAGAATATCTGTCTAATTAAATATTAACTTGCATTTCTTCCCGCTTTTAGAAAAATCCTTTGAAAAGCATTTAAAGCAAGAGACAGCGGCGGTCTCCTTGTTCGTGCCAGAGCTTGCCACAGATGGAAGCCTGATGCGTTGATTTATTAGAGTTAAATCCCACCTTTCTTCTAAGGTGGGCTCACGCTGGTGAAGTGGCTCGCTTCTCCCCGCCCTTTTTAGCCCTACAACAACCCTGCGGAGGAGGCTAGGCTGAGAGTAACGGAGGGGAGAGCCGAACCTCTGTTCTGGCCTGACCCTCGAAGCCAGGTTCAGGCAACATTGCAGAGGTATTAGACTGCATCTCCCATACATTCCAGCCTGCATGGGCAACAGGCGGGGATTATGGGGGATGTAGTCGAAAATATCTGTTTGCATCCCCTACGCTAATCAAGAGAGCCTGTTGGCTTTGTGTATAAAAAATGTACTTGAGACTGCTTGACTTTGGGCAGTCGCTGATCCTCAGCCTCGTCTAAAGAAAGAGCAAAGCTTTTGGTTGTGTGCAGAATGAAGGAGCTGTGGAGAGAAACAGCAGGGCTAGAAAAGAAGAGACAGAAAACCGCCCTAATACTTTCTGGGGGTTTTATCTGCAGGTTCCCTGTTGAAGAACAGGAACCTGCAGATAAAGAGGGTTGTTTCTAGACTTTGCAATGTATTTTATAGCTTGCCAAAAGGAACCTTAGCTTCGGTGGGGAG